ATTAGCGTGGCTCAGTGGTGGTTAGTACGTCTGCCTTGCAGCACGGGGGTTATTGGTTTCAATTCCAGCCAGGACAATATCTACATGGAGTTTTCATGTCCTCCCTGTGCTTGCATGGGATTCCTCTGGGTTCTCTGCTTTCCTCCCACAACCCAAAGACATTTATTTATTACAGGCATTTACATAGCGCCGACAATTTATGCAGCACTTTACATAGTTGCACATTCACATCAGTCCCTACCCTCAAGGAGCTTACAATCTAAGGTCCCCATTTCACATGCATACATAGAGGGCCAACTTAGAGAGGAGCCAATTAACCTACCAGAATGTCTTTAGAGATGCTCGTAGGTTAGGCGGCTCCTGTTTAAAAATGGGCTTTGTAGGGTATTCTACTGAGTGCGCCCAAGATGGTTGCCTCACCTACTATCTGCTCCAACACTGATTTAATTAGAGCCTTGAGTCCCTATGGAGAAAAGTGCTATAGAAATATAAAATTAATAGAAAAATGAATATTTCTCACAGCACATGTTTTCCTCTCATCTCATTGGGTAAACCTATCAAGGGAAAAATGAGGCCAGTATAGCATTAATGGGGAACCGGCCCCAGAGGGGTATTTCTGAAGCTGTTGACACACATCGCAAACCTATAGTACAGTCTTCATATATTTACCCACAACTATATAGTTCAAAGGTCCACTCAAACAATGTATTTGATTTTATCCCTAAAAAAAGGAAGGCACCCATACTACAAAACTTATAGCGCTACACTACTGAGCAATTAACCTTTGAGGCTTTTTAAGCCTGAGTCTTAGCAGCTTGCAGTTAGTCCGGTTTTTCTTCTTTTACTTCCTTTTTCAATAGCGCAGAATATTTGTCTCTTCAACCATACTACAAAGCTGCATGGCGAAGCACAAGTTCATCTCAAAAGGTAATAAATATGGCAGCACAGGTTTCCGGGAAGCAAAGCAGTTATGACAGGAATGCAAGTGTTGCCCTCCTAAAAAGACTAATTGCTTGGCTGACTTCAGAATCTTTTAAATCAAAGACCTGGAACAAGCAGGCAGTAAGTGAAGTTAAAATAAAGCACAGCTCCAGTTCTACATGCTTATTCCAAGTCTTTGGCTTAGTTGCTGAAAGTACTGAAGCCCAAGAATCTGCATGACAGCCAGTCAACTAAAGTCAACTAGCATTTTCTGGAAAACATGCCATGGTATTTTGTTCACCATAGAGTTGGCTATTCAAGGAGCGAATATCGGTTGCTTCTTGATAAACTGGCAGAATTTTGCTCTGTGTGTGGCCCTGTTGGCTGTCTGTCATCCTTTGACCTGAAAATCAGAGGAGCTAGGCAGAAACTTTTCACCTGCAGTCACTGTTTGGCAGCACCTCTTGTAGTCTGACAATGGCAGGTGCCAGCTGTCAGAATACAATGGGTGCAGCAGGAGATACCTCAACAGTGTTGATGGAGGAATCTACCCAATTTTTTTTCCCATTCAGTCCACAGGCTAAATGACCAAAAAAAATAAAAAAATTCTACTGGTGTATGGCCAGCTTTACTGTACTATCAGATGGTTAGGTTGGCCATACACTGTTGTATGTATTTAGCTTAAACTGTGGGCTGAATGGAAAGAAAAACAAAATAACAGACTCCTCCATAGACACTAAAAAGTGTGGATGGATGAATCTCCTGCTGGGCTATTGGCACACAGGCCACTGTTAGAATACCCACACTGTGATGGCAACCAATTGGCTGCCCTCATCCAGTTCATCAACAACTAGCTGAAATTCGAACAGTGTATGACCAACTTTAGTCTTTGAAAGATCCCGTAAACCATGCAGCAAATGTCTAACAACTGATGGGCTCTATCTTCTCACAGGAATGTCAAAATGACAGCCTGCATCTAAAAGAGAACTAACGCTAGACTTTTTTTTTGGCTTTAGTCCTCTTTTCGGTCAAAGGACGACATGTACTGATGTACTCCTGTGACCCAAAGTCAGCATCTACCGTGCTGCTGCGCTATTTGCCGACAGTGTACAAAGCATCCTGTCAATATTGTCAGGAACCACCCTACTGCCTAATTGACAGCTGGCTCTGCCTCTTTAGATCCAGAGCCAGCTGTGCCCGCCCCCTACCCAGTCTGTCCTTCCAATGAGCACGGGACGAATAGAGAAAGGGGAGGGGCAAATACCTACAGGAAGTATTGGGAAAAGCCCATTTTACTCTCCCAACACTACTCCTTTAACACTGGGTTCCATATCACAGCACAAACACTATGCCTGAATCTGTGGTCAAACGTGTCACCATAGAAGATTTCGGCAACTATAAAAAGAGAAAAAACCACAAGCAGCAAAGAGGACTGAAAAAAACCTCTGGCGGTGAAATCTCTCCACAGATTATCACTTTCATCTAGTAAAAAATGACCCCACACCAAATACACGGGTGCTTTTGCAGCAGCATTATTTAAATCACTTCTGCTTTTTTCTAAACTTCTCTAGGAAGGAAATGACATGAAATGACCCCACATGGTAATGTTGTAATTTCTCTTGACAAGCAATACATGTTTTTTCCTCCCCAAAATAATTCTAGTAGATTAAATACAGTGAGGGGGATTTATCAAAACTGGAGCAGCTGTGCATGGCAACCAATCAGCTTCATTCTTTCATTTTCAAATCTTACCTGAGCAAACTGAAGAGAGAAGCTGATTGGTTGTCATGCACAGCTGCTCCAGATTTTGTCTGCTCCAGTTTTGATAAATTCCTCTCAGTGGCTTTTATTAAACCACAGATATTGCAATCATCCCAAAATCAAACTACAGGCTTTGATTGTTATTATTAAACCCTCACTGCAATACCCAGTATTCATTTAAGGTCCACCTCGCTCAATGTCTTTAAGAAGCTCTTCCCTGAACTTCTGGTTGGAGAATGTGAAAAGGTCACGTGGCCCCAAGCGTCGGAACTACAGGTCCCATGATTCCTCACCCCTTTAACAAAGCACAACTCGTCTGTCAATCAAAGCCTGTGGAGGAGGAGCAGGGGTGCGAGTGGGGATGCTGAGCTTTGCTGCTGTGTGTTGGCATACAAAGCTTCAGCACAGCAGGATACAGCCCTGGTCACAAGCACTCACATAACAGTGGCTACACTGGGACCCTGCCATACAGCGTAGCCACTCTATATTGGAATAAAAATATGACTTATTTTGCTAGTTTTTTTGCTTTTTTATTGAGAGTTTAAAGGAGACCCTGTCAATAAATTGCAGTTAAAAGCACAGAAAGAAAGTATTTGAAATGTTTTTCTTTCCATAAATTATTATGTAGCTGCTGGGGAAGCATCAACTAAGCCAATATTAAACAAAGTAAATTGTCCTATGTGTGCATTGGGGCTGCACTGGAAATAGTTGCCATTGCAGCTCCAATGCATCTGGTATAATGAGCCCTAAGACATACATTGCAAGGGGCAGCAGCCATGCCTAAAATCTGACCTCACAGCTGAAACTAAAAATTTGCAGGTCTCTATATTAGAGGTTAAAGAATGCATGAACACACTTATGGTGAATGAGAAATTGACCAGTATACTTCAAGATTCTTAAGTGCCTTACAATCTGAGAACCCTGGCTGACTCATGTGCTTCCTTCTTTGAGCCAAACTAGTTTAATTTATTTTTAGTTTCATTTCTCCTTGCAGGGTGCAGCCTCGTGGAGGTGCAGCCCAGCCTTTTCTAGTCCTCCTGTTTCCCCTGTGCCTTCCCTTTTTCCTTAGTCCTCCTCACTCCCCTTCCTTCTCACCTGTGTTGCATGGTTTCCAGTTTTCTATTTGGGGAGATCTGTGCATTTCACAGAGCGATACTGTATTGGGACATATTGTTTAAATGCTTAATATCTTTATTTAAAGTGACACTAAACTCAGGGGTTAAATGCATTCAAGTACTTTAACTATTAACAAAAACGTATCTTATTTGTGTATCACTCAGCTGTAGATCCTCAAATCATCTCTGAATTGGTGCAGACACTGTCCTTTCTTCTGGAGGGTGGCTACTTTTGCTCCCCATGGTCTCTGTGTGTGTTGGAAAGTAGACATTGCTCCAAGCTCACTCTCATTATGGACTACAATCTCACGTTTAGTTTACTAATTTGTTTTGAGATTGTAGTCCATCATGGGAGGGAGTTTGGAGTGGTGGCTACTTTACATCACACACAGGGACCATGGGGAACAAAAGTAGTCACCCTCCAGAAGGCAGGACAGTGTCAGCACCAATTTCAGAAATTATTTGAGAATCTACAGCTGAGTGACACACAGATAAGATACATTTTTGTTAATAGTTAAAGTGACATTAAACCCTCAGATTTTTTTAACATAAACCAATACTGTAATGTGTGCCTTACTATAATCCATGGTAGTTTCCCTTCGCTTTGCTGCTCTTCCTTTTAAATCCGTATCTCTTCTCATGCTGGGGGAGAACTTCCCTTTGCAGCTGAGTGCCTCTTCCTGTAGTGCTGGCTCAGGTTGTGAACCTACACACAGACACCATGTATCCATTCCAGAGACAAGGCAGTCTGCTGCAAAACAGAAGTTCTGCCCAGCATGAGAAGACATGAGGATTTAAAAGGAAGAGCAGCAAAGAGAAGGGGAACTACCATGGATTACAGTAAGGCACACATTACAGTATTGGTTTATGTTAAAAAATCTGAGGATTTAATGTCCCTTTAAAAAAAGGTACTTGAATGCATTGTTAAGATTTAACTCCTGAGTTTAGCGTCACAATAACATACCCATAATGTCAACTCTGCACTTTTGCTGGTTACATGGGTCTCATCTTCCAGAGGTTAGTTCCCTCTGCATTGGCAGTACTGGTTATGTTTATTTTCTTTGAAAACTTTAAATAAAATGTGGCAACAGAAATGAGAAATGTGCATGTTCAGAACTGAAATAAAGGAGGAGGAGTCAGTGATGAAGAGGAACACACAAACCTGACAGATGCAATACATTTCTAAGATAAAAATTCACTTACATCCATCTATCTCTTCCTGCACATCATCCTGGAGCAGCGACAAATCTACAAGAAACAGAACAGCATATGAGAGGACGCCATCACCACAACAACGGCTTTAATGGTAATCTCATGCTTTCTTAAACATTCACGCCGCCGATATGTTATTCCAACCAAGTGATTGTGCGTGTTAAACGTGTAATCGACAACTCATTGCAGCAATTCCTTATACCAGGAAAATATCCCAACTGTGTTAAGAATGACGTGAATTAAAGAATCAGCATAGACATGTCTTCAATAGGATCAACTTTTTTGCTGCATAAACCAAATTCATGTCTGTTTAGCTTATTGTATGTTTAACCCTTTCCCTACACTGTAGAACATTCAATTGTAAGTCATTAAATACAAATCTGGAGTTCTGTACAATACTTCCACCTACAAAGATATGCACAGAAATCATATATAAAACACAGTCAATGACCACCCAGCTGTACATCTGACTACTAGAGATCCTGGCACAGGCTCAGACAGTGGCCGCTGCTAACTGGGGCCATCCATCGCACTGCCAGCAGGTGCCCACCCTGTCCCAATGACATCTGTCCCAGGTAAGTACTGTTTCAATAGAGGGATAAGTTCCAGCCATTGCCCTGTGCCATACTATGTGCAATCCCAGCCTGTGCCCACCTATACATGGGCCTGCTCTGATGACATACACAGTACAGTAACCTCCAATAGTAATGGAAGTAACTACTATGACCCCATTACTGGGACTTGTGCCACTCTTCGTCATACTTTGACTATATTAGAGCGTTCGCCTCCACCCAACCGCCACATAATACACTTATTGGGCACTTTGTGATGCACTGGGCCCAGGCGCACACACCTATCCCTACACTGCACAACACTCCAGCCACTGCCATGGCACATGACACTCGCTATGACACGCACACGGCGCCGTATCTCTCACCCGCCATCTTGTGCCGCAGGCCGCGCCGCTACATGGAGTCTGCAGCCCGCACAGTCTCCGCCCAGCTGCCGGGGGGGTGTGTGTGAGGTGGGGGTCACCGGGGGATCGTGTGCGTCCCCAATGCGCCTCCGTGCTTCCTTCTAATTCACAAGTGGCAGCCCCGGATCACGGAAGATGCACGGTCGGTGTGGTTTGAAGGAGGAGATGACATCACGGTCATGTGACCGCACCACGTGACCTCCCCAGTGGAGCTGCCTGGGATATGAGTGGAAGGCTTCTGCTGGCAGATGAGACGCAGGAAATGAGACATCCTGTATGTCTAGAGGCGCTGGGGAATGTGGGGGGGGGGTGACTGCTCACACCAGTCTGTTCCAGAAATGTGGGGTGCAGGGTGTATAGTGTGGGAGATAACTGCTCACACCCTGAATACAGGGAATGTGGGGTATAACCGCTCACATCTCTCTGGCTCAGGACTGTGGAAGGTGACTGCTTACACCCTTGTGTACAGTATAGGGGAATGACTGCTTACATCCCTCTGTCCAGGGAATGTCGGGTGCAATGTGTGAGATGACTGCTTACATCCCTCTGTCCAGGGAATGTGGGGTGCAGGGTGTGAGATGACTGCTCACACTCCTCTGTCCGGGGAATGTGGGGTGCAGGGTGTGAGATGACTGCTTACATCCCTCTGTACAGGGAATGTGGGGTGCAATGTGTGAGATGACTGCTTACATCCCTCTGTCCAGGGAATGTGGGGTGCAGGGTGTGAGATAACTGCTCAAACTCCGCTGTCCAGTGAATGTGGGGGGCAGGGTGTGAGATGACTGCATACACTCCTCTGTCCAGGGAATGTGGGGGGCAGGGTGTGAGATGACTGCATACACTCCTCTGTCCAGGGAATGTGGGGTGCAGGAAGGGAGATGACTGCTTACACCCCTGTGTGCAGGGAATGTGGGGTACATTATGGGGGAGGACTTCTTACACTCTTCTGTCCAAGGAATGCAGGGTGGGAGATGACTCTTCCCACCTAATGTGGGGTCCTGGCTGGGATATCACCCCTCTGTCCGGGGAATGTGAGGTGCTGGGTGGCACATGACTGCTTACACCCCACTGTACGGGGAATGTGGGGTGCTGGGTGGCATATGACTGCTTACACCCCACTGTATGGGGAATGTGGGGTGCAGGGTGGGATATGGCCCTCTGTCCAGGGAATGTGAGGTGCTGAGTGGGATATGACTGCTTACAGCCCACTGCCATGCCCCCTTCCGCCCCTGAATGCAGGAAGCTGGCTGGGATGTGCGTTTCAGCAGCTAACCATGCTGGAGTGCACTGTATATGGGAGAATGGGCTGAGAATGCTTCTTTCTGTTTGAACCAGAAAATAACATGTATGTAAACCCTAACAATGAACCTCCCTTATTTGCTCCCATTTGGCCAGTTAAATATACCATAGAAAATGTTTTGTTATACAGTATGTGTTTAACAAATGCTAAAAAAATTAATAAATCTCTTAATCCTGCCAGAAATCCAGTGCTGTCTTGAGCACTCTTCAATGTATGTTAGGATAACCACCCCTCCCTTCATTGTTAGGAGAAAAGGAGGTGTTCTGTAGTCCTAACACACTTCCTCTCCTAGGGTGACAACTCAGCTCAGTCATAGATATAGTACAGTGAGAAAGCATTGTCACTCTATACAAGAATTGTGTTACCGGCGGGCTTACCAGGTGAGAAATAAAGCCTGAAATAAATCTGAGGCCCCGTTCACGTCAGGGCGTTTCAGGTACCCAAAGATATGTTCCTGCACACATAAATAACATCATCATATTTTATTATTTATACGAAACTCCAAAATTTCAATAAAAAATGCATACAAACTTCTATAGCCCAATGTCCCTCATATCACATCGCTCACCATCCTCCTTTTTAGAAAACAATTCTTCAATTCACTATACACATAAAACAGGACACCAAGATGTCTACCAAGACAGAATGAGGGGAATGTATCAAAAACTGGAGCAGATGTGCATGACAACCAATCAGCATCCACCTTTCATTTTCAAATCTTAACTGAACAAAGAAGAGAGAAGCTGATTGGTTGCCATGCACAACTGCTCCAGTTTATGTCTGCTTCAGTTTTGATAAATTCCCCCAATGTATCTAGTGGTGATGTTCGAAGAAGACAACCACTATGCCATTCGCAACCTTATTGCTGCTTTTTTCAGCATAGGGTTAGAAGTATATTGTGTGCCCGCCCATGCATCACAGACCAGAGATCCCATAGTACCTAGTACACCTAGGAAACCAATGCAGAGGTGGGGACATATGTAGGCACAGTAGAGCAGAAGAGAGAATTGGTCATGTTTCACAATACAACTTATCTGTAATCGTAAGCCTTATGGTTACAAAAGCTACTCCAAAATTCCAGCCTGATAGGATAGTGTGTAGGGTGATTTAACAGGATCAGTATGGCCAGAAGACACAACAGAAAGTTCAGTATAGTCCCTATAAAGTGAGGATGATTCACCTCTTAGACACTTGTCACCAGAACAGATGGCTCCCTTCTTTTTTCAAATTCTTTATTTTTTTAAAATTGAACACAGATACAGTAACAATAAAAAAAACCCGGTATAAATGGGCATACCAAAGAGCAATAAACAGCACAACCAAAGAGCAAAAGACAAAAAATGCGAAGAATATCAGGATGCTAGTCATTCACAAGTCAGTAGTTAGTACTACCAAAAAGGGAATAGTAAGTGGGGACCCCGACAAAAGGGACAGTATAGTGGATGGTTGTTCTGAAAATTAGCAAAAATAGGGACATGGTGAAAAAAATAATCAAGCCAGGCGCCAATGTGGAATAACGGGGCTCAACACAATGGAGAGAAAAAAAAAGAAGGGGGGATCTACTACTGAGGGAGGTCTAAACCCAGAAGGGGTAAAAGGGAAAGAAAATGGGGGAGGGGGATAAGGCAGGCAAGTAAGCAAAGACCCAAAGAGGAAGAAGACCGAAGAGCTCAGGAAGCTTCTTCAAAGAATAAGGCACTACTATGTACTATGGAGAAGAGAGTAAGGCAAAATCACTCAAAGCTCGACCCTCGTCTGAAAACGGGAACTGATTTCAGTAAGGCCCCATTCACACTAAGCGACACCTGCCTCGAGCGGATCCGCGTGGCCGGGATGGCGCGACGGTTCCGGTGACAATCGCGCGACCTTCACCGTCGGGCTGCATGCAAAAATAGAAAAATCGCGCGACATCCGCGGGAAAAAGGGTCCTGCACAAGCAACGAGCGACATGGAGCTGTACAATAGAACAGCTCCATTGAAAATCATTGGACGGCGACTTCTCGCGATATCGCGATTAAACGCCCAGTGTGAATGGGCACTTAAACCACGTCTGGATGTGAATATCGGGTATCTCTCGTAGAGAGAATCAGGTCTTCTAGTTTTCCATTTTCTTCCACTCTGTTGATCCATTCTGTCAATGAGGGGGGAGATTCCTTCCGCTAATTGCTTGCGATGCGGCATTCAGTTGGTGTCTGATAGCCAATTTCTTGTATACCTATAGCGGAAAAGCATTAGCATATAGGAGAAAGAAAGCAGGGTCCTAGAGTCAGTCAGACTTTGTACAACATATCTAATAGTGGACCAAGAGATGGCTACCTTCTAATATTTACCCTCGCATCTTCATCTAGTGACAAGTGTAAAATTTGGAATTCCCCACTAGCTTTTGTCTTGGTGAGAATGGTCACCAGGATAAATAGGGTGAGCTAGTTTTGGCTACACATGCATTTTAATGTAATTTCAAACTCCATGTACAATATTTTTTAAATCTGTAGATTTCATTAAAATATAACCTTGTGATCCTGGAATGAAGATCCTGGCTTAGGCACTTATACAGTGCTTTCTCCCTACAGTATTTTTAATATAAAAATGCTGTATTCAAAGCTAAAAAAAGCCTTATCCCATACAATAACCTCATTCCAAATGTAACATATCCAAATGACAGAGTCCTACAATAGATTAAACCCAACTAATGTCCCCCAGTGACCAGAACCCCAAAGGGGACACCAGTCCAAAAGCTAGAGGTTAGGAAATGGACTAAAAATAAGATATAGATGAAAATACCTGTATGAAAATACTGACAAACATACTCCTGGTCATCCCAAAAGGGATTATTTATGTTAGTTTCTAAATCAAAACCTATTACTTTGCCCCCAGAAATTATTTTGCTCTTCTAAAATTGACTATGATGTATTTATTGGGTTTGGGTATTAAAGGAGAACTATGGGGTTAAGTCTTTTCACCATAGTTCTCCTTAGGGTAACGGGAGGACACAAACTAGCGTCCTCCCGTCACTCTAGGCTCAGTATACCGCGAGCTGTAGTTCGCGGTATCCTGATACGCCGCAGTATACAGCGAGCTGCAGCTCGCGGTATACTGAGACGCTGAAGCGGATCCCGACAATTGTGCCGGCATCCGCCCAGCTGCGTGACTGACAGCTGGCAATGCCTATCTAAAGGCAGAGCGAGCAGTACCCGCCCGCTCCCCGTCCGTTCCGCCAGTCAGCGCTGGCGGATCAGAGCGGGGAGGGGGGAATCCAGCCCCTCCCCTGTCACAGCAGAGAGCCGTGAAAGGATCGAGAGGTGAGCGAACGCTGGTATGTGTTCGCTCACCTCCCGATCTACTGAGCCGACCTGTGACAGTCTCATTGTCACAGGACGGCTAGAACTATGAGGTGAGTGGAAAGCACTCACCTCATAGTTCTCCTTTAACATAATTAGTATGTTTTATTATATTTTCCTATCGGAATTTCTGATGTACTTTCTAACTCCTTCAGTCCTGTTACCCCTTGTAGCCTCCCATGTCTTTCACCTGTTTGGTGATTATGAAACAGCCCTTGAGTTGTTTCATAATCACAAGTTACTGAGTCATGGGTGTGAGCATAAAGAATGTTCTAATATGTATATGTGTGACATTGATGTTTTGTTATATTTTGACAGCAAGTCTATTGATACATTTTTTTGATGCAATATTTTAGATTGCCTCCAGCCTTCCTGATGAAGCACACATAGTGCAAAACTCGGCCCACTTTGGACTATATTAAAACTATATACCTATGTTTAGGCATAAGGTGGAAATATGATACTTTTTATATATAGATATAGATCTATATATATAGATATATATAACGTGGGTCCTTAAGAAGGTAGCTTGTTCTTATGTGATGATGG